CCGTAGCATAGTCATACAATGGAATACTACTTACCAATGGAAACGCATGAACTCCTGATAAACACAACAACATGGTTTAATCGCAAGCACAGTTTTCTGAGAGAAAAAAGCCTTACACAAGAGTATTTAAGACATGATTCCATTTATCTAAACTGCCAGAATATGGAAAACCAATCTATGGTGAAAAAAAATCACAACAAAGGAAAAAAAGACATTCTATAATAAAGACACCTGTACTCAAATGTTTATAGCAGCACAATTCACAATTGCAAAGATGTGGAAACAACCCAAGTGCCCATCAATACATGACTGTCTCAAAAAAAAAAAAAAAAAAAATCACAGCAAAGGAAACAATCAACAGAGTGAAAAGGCAACCTATAGAAGAGAGGAAAATATTTGCCAACCATATATTAGATAGGCGGCTAGTATCCAGAATATATAAAGAACTCCTACAGATCAATAACAAAAAAAACCCAAATTTAAAAATGAGCAGAGGACTTGAATAGATATTTCTCCAAAGAAAATATACAAATAGCCAAATAACATGTGAAAAGATCACATCACTAATCATCAGGGAAATGCAAATCAAAACCCTAATGAGAATCACTTCACAGTAGTTAGGATGGCTCTTATCAAAAAACGGAAATAAGCATTGATGAGGATATGGAGAAAGTAGAACTTTTGTGCACTGTTAGTGCAACTGAAGTGGTATGGCCACTGTGAAACACAGTATCGAGTTTCCTCAAAAATTAAATGTAGAACTACCATGTGATGCAGCAACCTTCCTTCTGGTTATATACCCAAAAGATTGAAAACAGGATCTCAAAGAGATGGAGTTAAGTCCTCACTGAACATTGTCCATAGGTTCTAGGAAATTGTGGACTCTAAGCAAAACAACTTACATCAGGTCTTTGAATTATGTCATTTTGTTATAATGTTGATGAGAAAAAAATTGATTTCCTTATACACTGCTTCACTGAACATCACAGTTTCCTAGAACCTATTGATGATGTTAAATGAGGACTTACTGTTCTTATACACTGCGTTCATTGCAGCATTATTCACAGTAGCCAAGATGTGGAAGCAACGTAAATATCACTGACACATGAATAGAGGAAGAAAATGTGTGTGGGGTGTATGTATTCCATTGCGTGTTTAAACACACACACACACTCACACAGAGTGAAATAGTTACCTTAAAAAAGAAGGAAAATCCTGTCATATGCTACAACATAGACAAACCTTGAGGACATTATGCCTAGTGAAATAAGCCAATCACAAAAACACAAATACTGTATGATTTCACTTACATGAATATAGAATCAGACAGTAGAATGGTGGCTCCAGGGGTTTGGGGGAGATAGAAATGGGAGTTGTTGTTCAATGGGTGTAGGATTTCAATCGTGCAAGATGAAAAAGTTCTAGAGATCTGTACAACTATGTACATGTAGTTAACAATACTGTACACATAAAAGTTGTTGAGTATAAACATGTGTTTCTTACCATAATAAATTAATCAAAATTACCAACTATCCTAATAGTTCATGGTAAAATTGAACTCAAGGGAAGAGTATAATAATTTCATTTCTTTTGAACAGCCTCCTTTTATGGGAAATTTTGTTGGAAGGTTTGAGCTAGCTAAGGTCAGTGTGTCCTTGCAGTGAGGCTGTGTACGTGGTGACAGGACTGGGAGTTGGTGGCCTCTCTGGGATCTCACTGAGTGGAGAGCAGAGGAGAGCTCATCCTGAATATCATTCCCAAAGCAACTTGTCCAAACACCTGGATGCCCTCCATGAGGAAGAGAGACGATGATTATGGGATGTTGTTATTTCAGAGGCATCCAGCACTCTGAAAATTTCCTCCTTCCTTTCTCTTATCCCTGTACCTGAGACCTCTTATTTCAACACCTTAATTTTGTTCCCTTAAAACATTTTTTAATAGCCAAGAAAATCTTTAATCATTTTTGGAGTTTTGGTTGCCAGGACTCGTTCTGAGACAGAAGGAGAATGACTGAATTGATTTTGTGGAGCAGCGTGAAGTGTTCATATGCTGAGCACTCACTCTGGCAGCCAGAGGTTCTGTGTCTGGCCAGAGGCCACTCCTTTGGGTAGTGAGGTCTCGGTTCTTCCCACTAACTGCTAGGCAAGCACAGGCTCACATTGTGGGTGAGCTGGTTGGCTCTGCCCCTGACCTTGACTAGCTTCCACCGTGAGTGGAGTGAATGGAGAGGCATTCAGTGACTCCCATATTTACTAATGAGATGAAAATACAATGCTAGGCTGGTAAATATCACATATTTTCTTCCTTTGCACCTTTCTTGGTTTCCCATTCTAGCCTATCAACTCTTTTTTGTTTTTGTTTGGGGATTTTTAATTTCATTTTATTTTTTTTGTTTTTGTAATGTGCTTGTTCATTTCTTAAAAATATTGATTATAAAATATTTTAAATCTACAAAGAGGCATAGAGATGCAATACATTCACCACCTACCTTAACAAAGAGAACATTATGTGTACAGTTAAAACCGCTGTACACCTCTCTCCAATCACATCCACCCTCGTCCCCGACTGTGGTCTGTTATCTGGAATTTAATGTAAATCCTTTATACTTTCACTATATAATACTTGTATACCTCAGCAATATACAGTATCATTTTGCATGTTTTTAAACTTTATATAAACAGTATCATATTTTATGTAGTCTTCTGCCAGCTGCTTTTTCACTCAGCCTACCTGTTCACTTTTTTTTTTTAAAGAGATGGGGTATCACTATTTTGCCCATGCTGGACTTGAACTCCTGGGCTCAAGCAATCCTCCCATCTTCACCTCCCAAGTAACTGGGACTATAGGTGAATGCCACTGTGCCCGGCTCCTGTTCACTTTTGAGACTTCATTTGGGATATTTCTTCTGGTGTTACTTAGGTAAACTATTCTTAACACTGGTGCACAGCATTACTGCGTAACAGTGTTGGCCCCTAAAATACAACTAGAAATGGCTTAGATTGAAAAATTTTGTATGTGTCAAATTGATGTATATCTGTAACATAGTGTGTAACTGTTAAACATATTTGTTTTATTTCAGGTTATAATATAACTTATCCTCTCATGCTTTTTCCCTGCCCCTTCTCCCCAAATCAACAACAGTAGAAAAAGAAGAAGAAGAAAACATGTCAGGACACAAGTGGTAAGCAATTTGTCATCTTTTCTAAATTAGGAGAGGCTAAAGAAAGTGGAAAGCACATAGTATATGTTCAGTAAATGTCTGTTGAATGGAAGAATCAAGAGATACATTAGCAGTAAATAACCTGTTAGCCTCTCTTTAATATGGAGTATAACCGAATTCAGTATCCCTACTAAATATGGTGTGAAAACCAATAACAAAAGATACTATAAATTCTTATCTAATGTGTATTCTCTAAGAAACTCATTTATGTGTAACTTTTCTCTTGGGAATCTAATGATAATTTTTCTTCCCACCATTTTGTCTAATGTAATGAGTTGATGCATTTTTTATCACTCTCTTATTTATAACATTACAGTTACAAATACATTTTATGTTAGGGCAGCTATAAAATAAAGAATGATTCTACAACTACATACCACTCAGACTTATTTAATTTATAGTCATGAATTCAACCTTCATGAACATTCAGGAGCCCTTCATGGTTGGAATTATGTGATGCTGAATAAAACAGATGTGGTAATCACATGGCAATGTTAGCTCTGTCATTTATGTGCCTGTAACACATATAAACATCATGTTAAACTTCTTATAAGATCTACAGGTTGTCAAGCAGTGTTTCTGATCCCCTGTGAACCCATGACCCACCCACCAAACAAGCAAATCTTTGTCAAGTTTTACCTTCATTAATTTGTATCATGAAAAAAAAAGTGGTACATATTTTCATTTTCCAAATGTGTACAATTAATTATAATAAATATACTTTTTAATCCCTCCCCTCTCAGTAGAAAAGCAATCAGGCCCAAGTCCTCTGTAATATCAAGTGTCAAACTCCAAAAGAATTTTTGCATGTCTTAAAATGTAATGAGTTTTTAAAAGTAATTAATAAATGGCTAAGGGACTTAATTTCCCTGAGTAAAAAAAAAAAAAAAAAAATTCCCTGAGTATCTCCAGATGACAGTTCTCTAAGAGTTGTCAGACTTTTTCTTTTTTAGTTCCATCTTGCCTCGCTGTGACAACAGGCTGATTCCATCTTGTGACCCTCTGTGGATCTCATATCCTGGCAGCAGGCTCAGGGAAGTAGTTAGTGACTCGCCTAAGAGAGACTGGAAAGTCCTCAAAAGCAGGCCCTTTCCCAAACTTTCTCCCGCTTACTCCACATCATAGCTCGCTGCTGAAATGCAAGGGCCACAGAGTACGTTGAAATGAGCTCTGGACTGGGATTTATAGGTCTGGAATTTAATCTTCTGTGACTTTCAGTGAGATTCTTAATCTTTTGAAACTGAAAATTCCTCATTTGTTAAATGATAGCGGGTAGGGGATGTTCACTATATTTCTGGAGCCCTTTTTTTCCAAAATGAATTTTTTTTCTGTTAATCTGTTATTTTTGGCAAAAAAAAAAAGGAGACAATACAAAGAAGTCCATCCTATGCCCCACCTTTGAGAATCTTATTCCCCTGAAATAACCACAATCTTTGGGGTATATCCTTTTTAATGTGTATATTATATAGAGATATTATCTTTTCTATACATGTTATACATATTTTTATCTTAATGTAGAAAGATATAAAGTAGACCGTGAAGGTCTCCCATAATCCCTCTTCTCTTGCCAAAGATAACCATGGTTAAAGAAGTCATCCGAAATACCTCTGACTTTTTAAGAATAAATGTGCAAATTAAAAATGTTAAATTTAATGAAATTGTAAGTAAAGGAGAGTATAAATTATCAAGTTGCGAGATACTGGTATTTTGATATAGTGATATAAAGCAACTCATGTTTTAGGACACTAGTCTGGCACATTTTGAGCAGTGATGGGATGGGGTAGAAAAAGGTAGTTATCTGCAGAGGGGAGCTGCCTGGGACCCAGAGTGGGCTTCTGGGGCGGAAACTCTAGGCCCAAGGAGGATGTGGACAGAGCAGGAAAGGGATGGACCACCAACAGCAAACTGTCCATCAGCATTTGGCGTACACCAGGCACTTTCACAGAATTCCACTTCATTCACAATTAACTGTTTCTAATTTCTTCTCTACGTACTTTTTGCCCTTCAGTATGATCTTCCTGAAGAGTGACTTTCTGTCTGTATTTTAAGCATTTATGTTGAGGAATTTAAAGGTTTTAACATAAGAAACCTGTAACAGATTTTAATTTAATTTAGTTAAATTGTGGTAAGAATGCTTAACATGAAATCTACCCTCTTAACAAATTTTTAAGTGCACAGTACAGTATTGTTACCAATAGGCACAATGTTGTACAGCAGATCTCTAGAACTTACTCGCTTTGTGTAACTGAAACTTTATGCGCTTTGATTTGCAATTTCCCATTTCCTTCTAACCTCCCAGCCACTGGTAACCGCCATTCTACTCTCTGCTTCTACGAGTTTGACTATTTTAGCCTCCTCTGTAACAGATTTCAAGCATGCTGTCCTTCAGCCCCTTTTCTCTGCTCTCCTGCCATCACCTCGGTGTTGGCTGTAGTGGGGGAGTGGAGAGCGCGTGTTGGTGTCCGGCTTTATCTCCGACTCACTGGGATGCCTCGAGCCAGTCACCCTGCCTGGCTTGGCCCCACTTTCTCCACCTCTAAAAGGAGTGTGTTCAACCTGTTGCTATCTAAATTCTCTTGAAGGTTTAGTTTCTTGATTTTCTGCAAAGGACTCTAAATTTCTTCACTCTAACGTGTAAGGTTTTGGAGTCAGTTAGAAAGAGGTAATTAACTTTCTTGGTGTAATAACCATATAAGAAAGTGCTTACATGTTTATTAATGTTGTAAATGTAAACGTATAATGGAAAGTCATCGTTAGAGAAATTCGTTCACACTAAAATACCTTAATCATTACGAAAGTTGTGAATAAAATAGCTCTTTCAATGTTTTTAGCAGTTATTCCTGGGACTTACAGAATCGATATGCTCAAGATAAGTCAGTTGTAAATAAGATGCAACAGAAGTATTGGGAAACGAAGCAAGCCTTTATTAAAGCCACAGGGAAGAAAGAAGATGAGCATGTTGTTGCCTCCGACGCAGACCTGGATGCCAAGCTAGAGGTGAGCTCTTTAGTGCTCTCGTCTCCAAGGCAGCCACCTTGCTAGGGTCAAGGTCCTAGACTGTGCTCACCTGGGCAGGCCTAGATGTGCTTTATATTTGGAAATGAGGAAAATCTAGGATCAGATAAATTCAATCCCAGCATATTTTTTTTTTTTTTTTTTGAGACAGAGTCTCACTCTGTTGCCCTGGCTAGAGTGCCGTGGCATCAGCCTAGCTCACAGCAACCTCAAACTCCTGGGCTCAAGTAATCCTTCTGCCTCAGCCTCCCAAGTAGCTGGGACTACAGGCATGCGCCACCATGCCCGGCTAATTTTTTTTCATATATATATGTATTTTTAGTTGTCCAGATCATTTCTTTCTGTTGGAGACAGGGTCTTGCTCTTGCTCAGGCTGGTCTCGAACTCCTTACCTTGAGTGATCCACCCACCTTGGCCTCCCATATTTTTTAAAACTTACAAATTCTCACGTAACCACCATGCCTCAGTTAATTTGTATTTTAGGAACTTAGCTGGAATTCATGGCATGTGGTAAATTCTCAATAAATGTTTATTGGAAAAATTAATGCAATCAAAGAGCTACTGCTGATGGTATCTGAGGAATCAGAATTGGAAAGGTTTTAGAAAAGTAGGGTCAGGCAAGTGTCTAATTTTCTTTAAATGACTCAGGTAAAATATCCTGGCAAGTACAGTCTAAGAAGACTGGTATTGAACCCTGGAAAATTCTAGAATGAATTAACTAAGCAGATACTTAGACTAATTAACAATATAGTAAGCTGGATTCACATCTGGTTGATCTAGAGTCTTAATATAACTGGTAGAAGGCCCACTACCTCCCTATTTTGCTGGACATTTCTGCCAATAGTTTAGATTAAAATTTTGAAAGTATAGTTTTCACTTCTGTGAATAACAGGGCACTGAGAGAAATTATTACATGGTATAATAAGGATTCAAAATGATCTCCAAATTTAATATGTGAACTAAAGTTAATGAGCTTAATATTTAATGGAACTAAAATAAAAAGCCCAGGATTTCCAAAAGCTTTCCAAGAAGGGTGAGCAGCATAGTGGAAACCATGGTTACCTGGAACAGAGAGGGTTAAAGGGAGACATGTTAGTTGTCAACGATATGGGAAAGTCTGTTGTGTGAAAGAGGGATAAGAGTCATTCTAGGCATGTGCGGGTAGAACCAGATCCGGGAAGAACATTCTAATGCTAAGGCTGTACAGAGAAATGCGCTGACTTTGAGACCAGGAATGCCCTGTCAAATGGATCTGGGCTACCCTTCCACCTACTAGCTGCTTTAACTTTGGGAGAACTACCCAATTTCTATTATCCTTGTTTTCTTAATGTGTGAAATGGAGATATGAATGCTTACTTATTGCAGTTATTATAAGGATTAAATTAGGTAACAATTAGAGTAATGGCTAATGTTTATTGAGTGCGATTGTGTCCCAGGGACCATTCAGAATGCTTTCCATACAGTATCTCTAATACATAGCAAAGCTCCTGACATACTGGATCCTGCCTCTCTGTCTCAGGTTTCCTGTCTCCCACACATTTACGCTGCCCTGACCACCTTCCAGCCGTGTTGGCCTTGTCTCAGTTCTCTGTCCACAGCCAGGCAAGTTCACACCCATCAAAGCATTTCCTGGTTCTACCTGGACATTCTTTCCCCAGATCTTCCCTTGGCTGGCTCCTTCTAGTAGCTCATGTCTCAGCCTGGAGGTCACCTTGAAAAGCCTTACCCACATACACTGTTTCAAGTAAGTCACTGCCCGTCCACCCCTGCTCCCTACCTAACACACGACCTTGTTTTATTTTACTCATAGTATTCATGTATCATCTCAGGCCTGTGTTTGTTTCCCTGCTTTCCCTCCACTGTGAGGTCAAATTCCACGTTAGCTTTATTCACCACTGTTTCCCCAGCCACACACACAGTACAGATTCAGTAAGTGCTACCTGCATAAGTGTACATGTTACTGCAGTTAATGTCAGTTCTTGCAGTTTTGAAATAGAAGCTGGGTTTGACAAGGATGTCCTAAAGGAGGATTCCTACAATGGAGAAAAGTAGAACCAGGAAGCATTTGTTTTGATTTTTGTATTCTAAATGCAGTTTAAGTTATTATTATTTATAGATACTTTTTATATCTCATAGCTTTTTTCTTCTTAAGAACCTTGGTAAATACAAGCATTATTCAAAAAGTAATATGTTAATTACTAGTATATCAAACATTATATATATATATATGTGTAGACTCTTACAGGAGCATTTTTACTGAACCAACTGTACTTTTATCACAACAGCTGCTGTCCTAGGTGCATAGCACCCAGAGTACTTAACTGTGACTAATAATTTTACACATGATAGAGCTGATGTCATAAAAATATTAATACTGATATTGATATTTATAGAGAGAATAGATTCCACCAATAAAACATATGAAAATGATGTGCAGACCATTTTGATGTTGTCTTACCTTGAATGATCCATGGAAGGCTAGCTTATAAACCGAGAAGTTTCATTTACTGGCACAGAAAACTTGTGTGCCTAGCTATAACAATGGTCAGCTTCTATTGTGATCCATTGGAAAGTTAACACAGAAATGTCATGCTGAGTTTTAAGATTTGTACACATTGCTTGTTAATAAAGTCCTTTTCTTGGAAACAGCTCCTCAGTATAAGAAAAGACAAAACTAATCTCTGATGACAGAAGACTTTCTGCCAGTCACTCTGTCACAGCACAGTAGACTGACTAGATGATGGAAATATTTCTCATCTTGCCTTGGGTGTGGTTACATGAGTGCATGCAATTGTCAAAACTCACAGAACTGAACACTCCAGAGCTGTGCATTTTATTGCATTTGAGGTGTACTTCAATTTTTTAAAAGTGAACAGTAACAACAGAACAGCTCTTGAACAGAACTTTTTGAACCTCCTGGCTCCTATATTCAGGAAATACTATGTGTTGGTGGTTTCTGACTCAGACTACTGATATCAAACATTTGCAGAGGAACAGATTCCGGCTGCTGATTTTCTGTTTTGTTTTATGGTTCTGAAGAGTATTTTTTTCTTTTCTAAACAGATGGAAGATGCAATTTCTCGAAATGTGAATTAGTAAATTTATATTCCTCATGGCCATGTTTTATCATATTAAACATTCCTAGAAATGGTTTTTAATGCTTTAAGTATATATGCATACATTCGTTTTTATTAGATAATTTGGTCATATTTATAAGGAAGCAGATCATCTGTTTTCACTCAAATATTGAAATGCTTTATGATACCAGGACATAATTTCTACATCAGCATGGCCAGTAAACTAGGAAAAAGGAAGAAGGAAAACCTTGCCCTGCCTCTTTGAGTGGCTCTGGAGAGGCAGGTTTTCTAATTGACACCAGCCCTGGTCTCTGAGTCAGTGCACAGAGAGTCAAGAAAGTATAAAGTCTGTTCTATCTTGAGCTATCTAGATTTCTGAAGCAAAGACTAGGACCCCCATGAGTTGAAATCTGGTTAGATTCTCAGTACAGCACCACCTGCCTTTCCCCTAGTTTCCTCTGGTGTGGCCATGGCATAGCTTTAGGTGATCTCTGTGTATATTTTACAAAATCTTTGGGAAAATAGGGAGTGATGGGGGCTGCCAGTTCAACACCATTTTATCAGATGTCTTCTGAACAGACAGAACATGCAGCTGATTGATTTTTATTTGCTTTATCCAGTTGTTTAAGCATGCCATAAAATACATTAGGATTGTGAAATAAGTTAATGTCATCTTTTAAATAGGAAGCTTAATTGACAGATTCTCCATTTAAGAAAAAGAACAGCAAGTGGTGATTGGAATAAATTAGATTATGAATGAATATTGGGGTCTCTGGTTTACTAAGTCCTCTAATTGGGCCCTGCACTTAGGATTTCTGTTTTTCAGCTATTATTTCAGTAGTCTGGAGGAAATAATTGTCCTGCAGATCTTAATTTAGATTACAGAGATGATGAATTCCAATAAATATGGAATAATAGCATATTTAAAGGCTTTGGTCATAGTCTGTATAGTACACCACATGACACCAAGCACTTAGACATGTGATCTTGTTTTGAGTGGGCAAATCAAACACTATGGTTGTGTTTAATGTAACTATTTTTTATTTCACCGCTGTCTGTTTTATTTTGCATTTTGTTTATATTTTTATTACAGCTATTTCACTCAATTCAGAGAACCTGTTTGGACTTGTCTAAAGCTATTGTACTTTACCAAAAGAGGATATGTTGTAAGTATGCCACTCATATGAATCTCGATCAAATAGACAATAAGAAATAGCAGAGTGGCCGGGCGCGGTGGCTCACGCCTGTAATCCTAGCACTCTGGGAGGCCAAGGCGGGCGGATC